TCTCGTTGATGGATCGTCGAACTGGGAGCTAGCAACCGTGTGCTCGATGAAATTGCGGCATTTGTCTTCGAACGGGGGTAACTCGAGATGGTCCTCTACGCTGGCGAATGCAAAAACTTCTCTGCTTAATTGGACCGAAACATCGTTGACAAAATTAAGGAGTTGCTAAATACACTTAACACTCGTTTCAATTCTTTCACGGGTCATTTTGATCCGATTACAAAGATCAATCGTGTGAAATATAGAAGGAAATATGTGAAGATTCGTGTATTCGGGACTTAAATCGGTCATATTTTTCCATGGAATACAAATACTTCGATTCGAAGAAAATCCCAGATATTGAACACAACGGTGATCGATTCGGACTAGATACGACAGTGTACTTTTCTACAAATCAAACAAATTTTCATCTCGATGACACTAAAGTTACGCGAATTCTAATTTTCACGTTAAAATAAATTTTATTTCCTCGATGTCCTTTCAATTTGCTCCAAGAATATTGATTCCCTTTGATAAATTGAAGACGCATCTATTTTTGCACGATTTTTCGATGTCTCTGAAAGCGATCGTCCACGCGTGAACTTCGTTTCGAGACGACACGCAGTTGAATAAACAGGTGCAACGGTGTTTGCACTATCCACGAGTCGAAGATGTCTCGATTGTTCGCGTCTTTCAGAATACGCCTGGTCGTGTGTAAATAATCGTAACGATAAACAGTTTGTTACGCAAACGGATGTACGGTCAGTTAAAAATAACGCCGGGTCGAGTGATGAATGAGCGGTTACGATGTATCGCGCTCGAGATACAGATGCGAACTGATCGGATCAACAAGGAAATGGTATGTTTGCATATAGTCTCGAGATTAAACGCCCTTTCTGAAACTCTGAGAAACAACAAGGGGTCTGTTTCGAATAAGGTTACCCTGGATCTTCTTCCTCGGATAAAGACGTTTAATTGCGCAAACAAAGGTGGACGTGAATTTAATGAAAGTTTCAAACGTCGACGGACTTAGAATACCATTAAGAAGTTTAATTAAGTTGAACTAAAACAAATTCCCGACGGTGGAAACGCGAAGAGCCGTTCTGTAAAACGGAGATTCCACTTTCGTTTCATATCTATCAGGTTTCGAACATAAACCGAGTGCTCGGAATTCTTCATCCTTATCGGGCTGCATTAACCTTTTTCATTATCTTTTCAAACGTCCGATTGATAGCGTTTTATTTTTAATTGAGAATTACAAACTTCTCCATTATCCTGGGATATAAGTTAACGAATAAATAAGTATAATCAAAGTCCTTCGATTCATTTGAACTATTCGAGTCGAATGGGAAAGAGAGGAGGATGGTCAACGAAGGAAGAAGTTAACAGTGTCTGTAATTTCCTTTGTTCGCCGCGAATCGAGGGAATCCGTGAATCGCGGCACGTACGCTCGACTTGCGATTTCGATATCCCGTTACAAGCGCAAATATTTGTCTGTAAACCCTTCCTATCCGGTTGGCTAGCGTTGTTTCTGCTTTGTGAATCGCTCGCTAGCTACGTTTCAAACGCGAGGTTTTGTTGACCCGTTTACCCTCCACCCGGACGGCAACCGTTCCTTTTTTTTTTGTTTGCCGAACATCACCGACGAGAAAAGTTTACAACTTCCTCTGGTTCTCTGCTTTGCGCTGAAACAAATATACGATTCGCCAACTCGTCCACCCGGTACCTTGTTTTTTACTTAAAAATTGTAGTTACAAATTTGAGAAGGTTCGCGCGAAACATCCAAGTAGCTGGCCCTCCAATTATTTCGAGCAGTTGAATGGTTGTTAGGAAACGTGTACCGAGATGTTGTCAGAAACAAAAGTGTTTTTTACACTTTTCCAGTCGCGAAAAGCATGCCGTACACGAGACTCGTGAAAATCGTCGTTACTCTTCCTAAACGATAAACAAGGCGAGCCTTTAAAGAAGCCGGTGCTTACTATGTTTTAAATAAACAAGTTCTTTGCAAAAGTTGACGCGACCTTCTTCGCGTCGGATAAGAAGGCGAGCGGATTTTCTCGTCGAGTCTCAATTAAGGGGTTGAGAAGACGCTTTGACGAAGGCCCGGAAGTACGTTTGGCCGGGTTTCCAAGGAACAGGAAACGCGACTAAATGCGAATTAAGTAACTACCAAGATCCGACTTTCGAATGATTAATCGTCCAAGGTTAATGGAAAGAAAATTGTCTCGTTTCGAGAAGAGATTCTGTTCAGATATGTCGGGTGAATCTTTACAGCGCTACCACAACTTCCACGAACGTTTAATTCGCTAAATTCGTTTTCCTTTGAGAAGATTTTTGTCCATTTTTCCAACGACAAAAGCGACGAGCCGGCGTCAAAAGGAAAATGTTAAACCCCCGCGTTGTTCAAAGAAAAAGGTGACACGAAAATCCGAGGTTGCATTGGCGAAATTGCAAGCGCAAAACGCTGCATTGGGGTAGGAATTTTTGCAATGCGAATCTGCCCTGGCACGTAGGTCGACGAAAGAAAACCCTGTCATCTTTGTTCCCCTCGCGAAAAGAAGCGGACGAAAGGGGTGGTGAAAAAGAAATGGTAGAGATAGAAGTGGAAGAGTCTGCAGGGTAACAGGGTTCCTCCAGCCGTGCATTAGGGACTTTTTGATGGCGTCAGATGCTCGTTGCCTCTCTTTTTATAGACGATTATTACGAAAACTTTTCGGACAAGGGTGGAAGCAGCAGGCTAGCAGAAAACAGCTACTTTACTTCCAGAAGGCGAAGACTTGGCTAAGATTTTATTTGCTAATTCCTATACAGTTATCTATAAAATGTTCCACATATTTAGATTAATTTTATAATATCACTCGAGAGGAAGTGTCGTCGAATAAATTTATCTAGAATAAATGACCTGAAATCTGTTCTGAACATCAAATCGAAATAGGGAAGCCACTTTAATCCAAACATTCTGAAATAACGTACGATCACGATCCACCCCCGAAACAGTAATCATCGCGGACGAGATCGCGATAAGAATTTCGATTCAAATTTTCCATTCCTTTCTACCCTTCCCCGGGACAATCTGCGCTCGTTTACCCAAATCCCGACTTACCGTCTTCGCGAAACGAGACCCATAAATTCGTGTCATCCCCGAACGGAAACGAATATAACAGCGACGCACCCCAACGATCAAACGAGCGCCGTTTTCGGATCTACCTTGAACAGTATTCGTGACGTCCCTTGGCTAACTCGCAGGCAAAACAGATAATGTAGAATTCGTCCCACGGGACCCGGTTCCCAACGCACTGTCACAAAGTTCGTTCCTCCAGAAACGAGTTCGCAGACAGGTGAAACGTCCGAGAGAGCAGGTAAACAAGTGAAGGACTGAAAGACACACTGAAAGTCGTGCCTCTATTTCTCGAACGAGTGTTATATCGAGACTATTTTTACACTCGGCACGCAGACTAGCCGGCCCGTTTGGCGACGATCTTGAACTCGAACTCGAGACTGTGCCATTCGCTTATGCCTGCTTCTCTCGATCTTCCATGTTTTCCGTTCGCCGAGCAAAGAAACAGGTCTCGACCGAGGACTCTCGCTGCGAGGTGATTTCACGCTTCTGGAACCTGTTGTACGTGCCTTAGAACGCGTGGGTCGCGACTCAGAAAAGCAGACGATGCATAGTTTAACGACGGAGTTCGTCACGATTCAATTAAAATTAGTCGCTTCTTAATTGTACCCTATAGAGATGAAAATTTGGCTAGCGGAAGGAATGTAGGTCCGATTGATTCACCATTTAGGATTCAATTTGAACAGGCATCTCGGAACGTTAACCATCAATTTATGGATCCTATCTGCCGTGGATACGGGGACTGCACTAATATGTCAAGGTGTGTAATTTCGGGAACGTCAAAGGTGAGATCAAGCGATGTAGGGATAATTAGATAAGGGAAGGGCAATGCGGATAACAGGTAAGGGCCATGTATTTCAGTCCGTTGCGTATTCCGTGTGATGATGTTTGCAAGGATTTGCAAGAAATGAAATGATTGTAATTTGCAAGGTGCGTGTAAATCCATTAAAAAAACATTGAATAAATATGTACCAGAGTCAGTTTCTTTCCTTTCCTCGTATCGTAGCAAGATTATAGACGATGAAACTAATACAATTTCCCAGGGAACATTATCTTTCTACTCGTTTTTCGTTTCCACTTTTCTCCTAGTTGCCTAATCTGAATGGAAACGTCGCGTCGGCGTGAACGAATCACCGTCGGTGCGGAAAATTTTCCTAAAGCACCGTGCCCATTTCCATGGCGTTTCAATGGCGTTCAACGATAGAAAATCACGCGACAGGAATAATCCGTGGAGTGGCCTGAAATTGGGTCGACCGATCGCGTTCTCGATGCTAATGGCTAATATCCGAGCGTTTCCTCCTGGTATTCGTGTCTACCAATCGAACGAATCTGCGAGTATAATGAGATCCGTGGGTTCGCGCGTTTCATCCCGAGGAATCGAGCGATCCGCACGCGTGCTAGGTACGTAACGCGTGATCAGAAATAGCCGGACGAACTAAGCCGCGTCGAAGGTAGGATTTCCCCGTGAACGCGACTTTTGCCTCTCTAAGTGAAAACTTGCAAAAATTATAAAAGGAAAAGCATCGCGCGATCGCATCTTTCCTTCTGTTTCTCAACGGCTACAAAAACGTTCGAGAGAAGTTGCGCAACGTTAATTACCGAAATTAATTATCGATCTAACGAGAGATTAAAGAGTAATTATTGCGGGTAGTTGAAAATTATCCGTGGCTTTCAGCAACTAATTAAAGCACTTCTGAAATTTAATATACGGGGATCATTTAATAACTAAGGGGACCAACAGCTGTAGTTGGAAAACTTTCTCAATAAGAAGAACGACAGTTTCGAAAGCGTAAGTTGATACGCTCGTCATAGATGAAAAATAGCTGTTTACAATTTATTTAATAACTTAATTAATAATGGAAAGTCCGGATCGTACGAAAATAAGCGTTAAATAGAAACTTACCGTCCGTGGTTCTCTTATTCCTTGTTCACCAATGCCTTCTTACATTCGATCTTCTCATTCCCGAGCACTGTTCGTTCAATTTGAAAATTCTCCCAGGATAATTAAATGTTCTCCAACGATCTCAGGATTTCTGCGCAAAAGAAACAGAACAAACTTCGATTCACCAAGTAACACAATTAGTTCGTTTTCTTCAAAATTCACAAATTTCTCTGAACAGCGTGCCCGATGCGATCGAGATCGTTTCCTAAGGTGAACTGTGACCTTCGCGAAGTTGAAGCCTAGCCGAGCTCCATACTTTCTCCTTGATTTTCAGCGTTGAATTCTAAGTGCACGAGGTCGGGGGAACAAGAAAAGAAAATAAGAAACTGAGATAAACGAAGAGGAGACAAGTGGTCCACCAAGGAAGAAGATTAAAAAAAATGAAAATAGACAAAAAGAAAGATACAGAAGTAGGAGATCGATAGAAGAGGAGGAAGAAACTGGACCGGTTCTCATTAATTCACCGAGACGCACGCTGCAGACTGGTTCGTTAGCCCGATCGAATCTCAATTAGCAAGTCGGGAAGCAAACTTAAAGGCTCGTCCAGACTTGATAGACACCGTCTACGGTCAGTCTGCATAAATTTCTGGTTCGACAAGTGTCTACGGACGATTGTAAGTCTGGACAAGCCTTAAGCGGCGAGGAGAGCCGGCTCTCCGGCCGGAAACGCGGAAGCGTATTTATCGGGAAACGCTTTTAGTCGCTGGCGCGGGTTATTTTCACAGCCAACAAAGAACCTTTTACCCGCTCAGGTGGCTTGGGTTCCTCGTGGAAAAATCCTATTTCCATGCCGCGATCCATTTGCCGTCGGGAAATCAGCTCGCCGCGATAAATAGCGAGATGCTCGCGGCTCGTCGCGAAAATGTTCGAGCGTCGCGTCGCGTCGCGTCGCGTCGGATCGCGCCAACAACTCTCACTTGAAATCGCCGTGAGCCGATTTCCATTAGGCTAATGGCCATCGTCGCACTGTTTCCGTTGCTTTTTCGCACGAAAAGACCAGCGTCGCGAGACCGTGTCTTGTTTCTTCTTTGAAAGTGTTCGAAAGGAGCGTGTTTCCGTCGAACAAAATCGAGAGTTCGATTATTCGACACTTGTGGAAACAATCGTTCGCCGCGTCTGTTACGTAACAATTCGTTCCTTCGAATGAAACCTGCGACTTTAACTTCCATTTGAAATTTCGCTTAATGCTTTAGATCAATTAACCCAACGATGCACGATTCTTTTTATTCTACCGTATTCCCGATTCACGATACAGTTACGGGATCCGGCGTGTAAGAATATGTAATTCGGATTACGTGTGCCGGAACACGGCATGGGGGTTAAACTGTCAAACAACGTACCTGGGAAATCCATTATCGATCACGCAATTTATCAAACGATAAATCTTTTAATCCGCCGTGATCGCGTCACTATTACATTCAAGGCGCCCACCGACTCTAGAAACCGTGATTTTATTATCAAAGCTCGTGCTTTTCCGTCAACTTTAATACTTGGCACGCGAATTTACGAGCCAGTGAAACGTCAAGCATGTTTCTAGCCTTCAAATGTTTTTGCAGCTGCTCTCTAGACGGTCAAATACAGCACGATCGAAAAATGTGGAAGCTTGCTAGTAAAGCTCGATTCTAAATCAATGCAGTTGCATCATCATCTCTATACTATTTTCCCGCCGAGTAAACATGTCGATTGGCACGTGAGTCATCGGTAAACAGGCGCCTGAAATTTTCTATTATTGTATAATTAACAAATGAAACGAGAAAGAAAGATTTACAGGTGGCCAATTCTACTAATAATTCAAGTTTCCTTATGTCTTACCACTCGCGTCTGATTCTACTGCGACAGTAGTCGAACGGTAGCCCCACTTGAGTAACCCGAAAATCATCGGCACACGTGTTATTTATCCGTCGAAACGCTTGAAACTCGAAAGCACGTAGGTCAAACGTAATCTAAGTAAACAAAATGTTACGTACCGACAAAGAAACGAGTGCTCGATCAGTGACGAACGATCAACAACGTCGACGATTAAATAAAGAACGATGAGTCACAGAGACAAAGAGTCGTGAGAATCGAGCAGTGAACGCATCGAACGGATCGACGAGGCGCGATAACACTGATATCTTGGCAAAAATACAAAATCGAACCGATCGATCGGTGCAGATCGAAAGACGTGCGCCGTGGTCAGTGGACAACGTAATACTGGGAAGCCGAGAGAGTTCGGCTGGTATATTTAAAAAGCAGAAACGCAGAGCTGCGTTAGCGTTACGAACGGCTGACAGGCTGGCACACAGACGGTGCAATACAATTGGCACAGACCACCGCGACCGCATGCTCGAAGCGTGCATATTGTTTCTCTCGCGAAAAGTTATAAATATAAAGCCTTTAAGTAACGTTTCATTCCTTCCTTTGTCGAGCATTCCCTCGAACCAGGAGGCTATTTTACCAAGCAACCAGCCGTCACATCGGGACGCAGTTGTGTTAACAAATCGACGCGTAACGAGACTCGGTTCTTAACCGATTACCGAGGATAACCTGGCACGTTCAAGGCTACAGGTATACGCGTTGATATCGCTCGCTTGATTCCGCACGAGAATGCAGGTTTCTGGTTAACGACCGATAGTCGAGTTTGTTGATTAACTGGTTCGAGTACCCGAAGAAATTGTTAAAATTTTGCAGGCGAATTATCGTCGGTAATAAACACCGGCATTGCGCAACGATGGAGCAACATACAAAACGAAACAAACGAGATCACGTGTCATATGTAAAACACACCTGTGTCTAACGTGCTCGTGAATAACCACAATTGCTACAGTTAGCAGAATAAAGTTGAAAGAAGAAACACGAACGGTATTATGATGTTTCGTCCTAACGTGACTCTTGCTGATTTTATTCATGACCCCTCGTTGCATTAACCCGAGACTGAATTGCAAAAGGGTGTTCGTTAAAGGTCCAAACGAGCGTACCGAATTTTTGGGACCACCTGGCTTTGTCAGAAATTTTCTGGCGGACGCGCGACCGTTACAAAGGCGAAAACCGAACGAAATTAACGAGTGTACTGAATTCGTTACAATGCCTGTCTTCATCTTTATTCGATTCGCTGTGACGTACCTTTAGAAAGCGAGAAAGTTCGAGGATTCAGGAACGAAAAGTCACGTTTGTCTTTCACCGGGTACCCGCAGTCGGTCGTCTTTTATAAACTTTGTCGATCAAGCTTTATTACCGTGCCCGCGTTAGTTGCTTGCTACTTTCGTTCCCTATATTTAACGCGAACCCGATCGCACCTAAAAACGACGCACGGAAATCGAAGAGATTGGTTTTAAAGATTTATGCCTTCCTCAGGGACGATCGATCTTCGCGACGACCTTACAGGCCGAACGAATTAGCGGTTCTTAAATTAATAATCAAGAATAAACGGTATGGAACCGTTAAGTTACTTGATATAATCCAATATTAAAGGAGTTGACAAAATTGGAGAATCTATAGGTATTGAACATGATTTTGGAAATTCATCAAAAATTCTTTAACAGAGGTGCCTGGATCAATCGTGACCCAAACTTACAAAATGTATAAAAGGATGTTAACTTAAAGTCAAATATACTATTTTGTAAAATTTAGAAAATGAAAATGAGACGAAGTACAAAATTAAATGAAAATTTGGTCCGAGGGTTAATTAAGCAATCATTCTTACGAGGAAACTGTAATGTTTGCCTTATTTTTTCCGCCTAGAAGCGGCACGTAACCATCAGTTACGAGATTATATCATCGATCACGGAAGAGGCAAGTAGTAGAGGGATCGATAGACCACGTAGAAGGTTGATCTTTCGATGGTCGTTTGCTCGACGCTCGGCGTCTCGAGAGGACAGCGTTTGCTCGTGGGGACGATTCGTCAGGATCACGTCTCGGATCGCGCCACCGGATCGCGTATCGTTTGTTGCGCTTCGATAATAGATGTTCTGCAAGCACGGTAATCGATGCGGTAGCTCGCGCAATCGATTCCTCCTAGCTGTTCGAAGAATTTAATACCAGCTTGATCCGACTGATTAATAATTCGAAGCGTTAGAGAAATAGCGGTAGGGATACGGTATCGATCAGAGTACATATCGAAGAAGATTGCCAACGCTCGAACAGGAGATTCGAGGAGCAGTGATAAACGTAAGCTACTCGCAAGCGTGAATCTTCTTTCTCCTCTCGCGACAAGCGCCGGTTGAGTCTTTGTTAATCGTGTTCTACTAGTCCCCTAGCGCGACCAAGCTTCGTGTGTCACGTATAAGTCCTCAAACAGCTTGATTCCGCACATTTCGCTTACGTAATCGCGTGAACTGCCGGTTCGACCTCGACTTCCGATACAACTACACGCCAAGTGATTCACCTCGAGCAACCGATAACGGCTTGCCTCGTAAACAAACAGCTATTAGCGCGATTTATCTTGGAAGGGGTGAAAACGAGCATGCCGTTATTGTTCTATTGGCCACGGGTGAATTCACCTGCGCGGCATAATTGTTTTCCGTCTCCGGACATACGAAAATGCGAGCATTAAATGCTTTAAACAGCATTTGCACGTATTATTTTGAAGCCAATGTCCTTGTTTCGCCGATTTCACAAGAAAATTACTATTTTAATACATAATAACGAGTTTATCCCGAAATCCCATACGATGGAGCGAATAGACACTAAAAAGTGGCGGTGCAATAAACACCGTGTATCGCCGACCTTCCGACCGATCGAGGTAACACCGTACTCCCTCTAGAGAAACACCGAAGTCCAAGATTTGCCGAATTACCTCGTCCCGTTGGTTTCACGGGAACAAAAGGATAGAAAGGAGATCCAGGAGATCGACTCGATACATTTGACAAATGTCTTCTACTTTGTTTGAACGACCATCGCAACGGACTGCCACGTGAATCCTCGGGTCAATCCTTCGATCTCGAAAGTCGAGAAATTTTCTAACACCCCGAAATGTACTAGAAACGATCAATTTTTCTTCGGGATCGGAATCCGAGAATTTGATTTACAACGGCGCTACGGTTACCGATGGTAGTCGGTTATTTGTCGAGTCGAAACGTGACCCGAACGTGAACAGTGCAGAATTCTGAATAA